AATGCGTCGAAATGCGTCATTCTGGAAATGTGAATTTGTATGGAGAAATGCGTGATTTGGCCTCGCATTTGAGGTTTCTCGCCCAAATGACGCATTTGGGCTCAATGTAAATGTAATATTAGAAAACGATTCGAATTCTAAAGTATTTCTCCAAGATAGAAGATAAGAAGGCGATTAGAGAAACTGTCTAATAATAGCATTCTCTACAAAAAGGGACTTTGTTCTCGATATAGAGGAAAAGTTTAGATAGCCAATCGTTTTCTAATGATGAATTATAGTTGGTGTATTTACACTCATTTTCATTTCCACCAAGCCTTAACTGCATTTTATGCCTACTGGAAAAAGGAGATTACCACTCTAAGGGGGTAAAGGAGCAAAAAGTAAGAGATTAACCTTACCGATCACCCAATGTTAAAATTCGTGGAACTTATCAGAGCTGTTAACTGCAGTTAAGCCGTTGGTGGAAATAGGCTACAAAATAGTGGATTTTCGATTCGAGATATATTAGATATTATATTTAGATATATTGATATTAGAGACTTTATTAGAATTCTACGGAAATACAATGTTTCCCTAACATTAAGAAGAGACTGTGTTTGCTGGGTGCATATGTACATATGCACTCTACTAATTTGCGTTTCCAATGCTCTTGGCAAATGGAACTATAAGCCATGAAGCTCAATGATCAATGTCAATTTCGCTACATATGTGCGGGAAGTTTTTTTTAGCAGCATTCTGGTAGGCCACTTGTGCCTCAATAAAGCTTCCTTCGATTACTAGCTAAGGGTGTCGCATTTATGCAAATGGTGATATTTGTTCATCAAAACGACTGAACTTTCCAAGCAAAACCGTATTACTTATCTACCTCAATGTGGAGAAAGTGACGGCAAACCAGCAGGCGGCTTAGCTTCGCTAATTCTTAATTCATAGCATAGCTATTGGTGGTACAATTTGCTTTGGGTGAAATGTAGCAGCAACTATGTAGTCAATATGTGCAAATAGGTACGTATGATATGTATAATTTTGTGTATTGTAAGATGTGACGACCCGCCACCGTCTGTTGCACGTTTAACATTTGATTAGCGTTGTTATTGTTGTATCGCCCTTGCTTGTCATTTCTTTTTGAATAGTTCCGTTTTGCTTGCTTTCCGTTCGGTATGTATCTCACGATTTCGTCCATTCCCTCATCTACGCAATTCGCCGTGTACCCCATATTCGCTGCCATCTTGTGTTTTGTTGACACCTGTCTCGTATTACATAAACGCTCCTATTACCAAAGATTAGCCACCTTTGTTTGTTACCTTATTCAAACAGGCATTGCAAGTTCTTGCGCATTTATCGGTGTATTAAGCCTAAAGGACATCATCACACATTTCGTACAATTGTTTAATTATTCCAAGAAACTTTCAGCCAGTTTCTTGACATATCGATTTTTCTCCTTTGTATTTTCGTATCGTTTTCCCTGCTTCTTTTTTTTTTTTTGCGTTCACACACTCACAACGCGACGCACTATATGCGGTCGGTCGATCATTTATGAACGCTTGCTCGAATGCAACTAGTTTCATCTTTGTTGCGCCCGCTGTATTGGGGCTAGTTGGAGCTGAATTGGCGAAAATCATCACTTTCGTCATTCCATTTGTTTCTCAAATAAATTTTTCGTTGGCTGGCTCAATGCAACGCTGTGTGGAAGAAACGTCAGCATTCCCTTCCGTTTCAATAGAAATGTTTGTGAAACCCCAGGAAGGAACGGAAACACTGCTGTAAATAACAGTGCGCGTCTCTATTTTACTATTTTATGTTGTCACTTTTTCGTCGCCGACATATGTATGTAGATATGTACATATGCTCATTTACTTCAATAGTGTCATAATTCAAAAAATTCAAATAATAGCCGTTTATATACTGCCAGTCGACATCATTCGCATTAGGGGTGTAAACTTCCCAAAAATGATATGAATTGATCAAAATTAGATTGCGGTTTCCCACAAAATTTAATGTTTCAATTAATTCTCTTGCGATATGTAGGTATGAAGCTTTCGCTTATAGTATGTTCCTTAAGCAGGGATCACACGATTTGTACATTTGTAAGTTGAAAAATTTGATGACATTTTTTTTAAGTTTCCTGAAAGGAAAAACAACGGCGTTTCTTAAACCAAAAATTTATTAGAAACCAGGAGCTCTCTCTCGTTATTACGCTTTTCTTTTTTGGCTTCCTGCTAATTGCTGCTGGTACATTTTAACTATTTCTATATTTCGCTCTCGGAGGGTGTAATTCTGTCATTTATTCCATCCTTAATCGTCCTTATAATTATCTGCTAGAAAAGCAAAGAAACAAAGCTAATATCTTGAACATATTTTTCACCAGATCCACACTTGCAAATAAAATATAAGCACTGCCATAGTTGTTAACAATTTCTCAAATATTCCTCAAATATCGCAGATGGTGACTCAACTTGTGAATAAAGGCTTCATCAAACGTTGGAGAATATTTGTGTATATATGTAAATACAAATTTTTTTTTTAATCTTGAAATATTTAAGAAAAATAAACATTTCTATGCAATTAGGGCCTTCAAAAGATCTTGAATTCTATATACCTAACACCGATTATATGGCGGTTGTAACTTCTAAATTACCATTTTTATTGCATCAAGTATTCAAGCTAATCCTTAAACTATTTTGAACTATTGTAGATCACAGAATTGAACCTGGATAATTGCCGGAGTACAAGTATTGTTGGCCTTACAGATGAGTACACTGCGCTCGAATCATTGAGTTTAATTAATGTTGGTTTAACCACATTAAAAGGTTTCCCCAAGTTGCCCAATCTGAAGAAACTCGAGCTTTCAGACAACAGGTAATTTTATATTAACACAATAATTAGTAAAAGATAATTTAAATGAAACCCATTATTTGTCTTTAGAATATCAAACGGCCTCAACTACTTGACAACAAGTCCCAAATTACAATATCTCAACCTGTCGGGCAATAAAATTAAGGATCTGGAAACATTGAAACCACTGGAAGAATTCAAACATCTCGCCGTTTTGGACTTGTTCAATAATGAAGCAACGCAAATTGAGAACTACCGTGAAAAAATCTTTGAAATGCTGAAATCTCTGAAATTTCTCGATGGGTAAGTTAGGATAATGGATTATTATGTTTAATGTTACTATGTTTAAAACTTTTTAATTATTTCAGCTTTGATGCGAATGATGTCGAAGCACCCTCTGAGGGCGATGATGATGATGAGGTTAACGGAAACGATGATGGTGATGAGGAAGGTGAGTGCTGTCATTTATATAGTAGCATACCCACCCTAAGAACTTTCGTAAAGCCGTTGCCATTTTTTTTTTCAACATGCTTCTATTTGTTATAATCTCAAAAACGAAGGTAGGCTAAGCGGGTTTGATTTGTGGTTCGTGCTAGTAGCACTCCCCTGGCGTGATTATTTAAGTGGAAAATCTGCAAGTGTATTTTTGCCATGAAAGAACTTTTTATAAAAACCCAGCTGTCTTTCGGAGACGATGTTACCTGTAGGTCCCCTCATTTGTGTGACACGTTCAAGACCTAAAGTTGAATAAGAAGGTCGACCAAATACTAGGCTAGTTTATGAGTAAATGAGTATGTACGTTAGATACTTCTCGTTGAAACGTCTGCACGGACTTTGATGCAAATAGATACCGGCCGCAGCCCAATTTTCTGATCGCTGGCAATGCTGCACATGTGCAAAGGTTGCAGCATGCGAATTACGAATTACGAAATTTCCGGTTCTAGAATAAGGGGGTCAGACTTCGTGCAAAGCTGGCGATAATTGAAAAAATTTCATCATTACAAACTTTTTTAATTACAAATTTTCGGGAGTACAATTTTATAGCCCATTCAACTTTAGTAATTAAAAATAAATAAAAATGTTTCGAACAGACATACTTGCTTTGGAAAAAAATGCGAAACGGCTTCAACCAAATTCACAAAAGCCGGCCATTAGTAAAGTTGAACGGCTAAAATACGGAACATGTTATACCACCACATCAATAAAGTGGAAAATGCGTTGGTGTCTACAGACGTAATTGCGGATGAACTACCATAAACATTAAATTAAAACTTGACGTCATTGTTCTCTCAATCGCCCAATTTTATGCAGTGGCGCTATTTATTTCCATTTCTGTTACATTGCAAAGCATAACGTTAGAAGAGAATACCTGGCGAGCTGATCCCAAGACGAAGGCTAGTAGAGCACAAACTTTTACTTTTAATAATGGGGTCTCTCTTATACTGATTTTCATAGCTCCGCACACATTCTGGCTGTCTTCCAAGACGTCAATTACTTTGCGTACGTACAAAGTATGTATAATGTTCCATAACGCCGAACTACAAAATATTGACAATATATACTCTTCCAAAACGCTTGCGAAAAGTTATTGAAACGCATCGCTAGAGCAATCAGCGCATCAGAAAGAACGTTGATGCTTCGTTTGTTATTGGTTACCATTGGTGTTTTAAAAATGGAAAATTCAGAAAAATTGCTCATTGCTATATTGAATATTTAAAATATGCAATGTATACGGTTGCAATGTAACGCAACTCTGCATATACAAACAGTTTGAATACCGCAGTATAACAGTATCCAAACATTGTATTGATACGTTTTGGAAGTCAGCCTCTTTTTCACCAAACTCATATTATAGTTAGTTATGGACGAGTTACTAAAAACTATAAACAATCCATATAGCCAAGAAAACTCACCCCCAACTCCCAACCTTTTCAGACAAACAAAATGCGTTTTGTTTAAATGGTATTGAAATTGATTTGGATGAGTTGGAAGAGTTTGAGAGGCGGGTAAATGCGAAGAAACAGCTGGCAGGTACAGTCACTACAAATAAGCACAAAACTGATGACGAAGTCGATGATTTAGATGAGTTGTTGAAGGAAATTAAGTTAAAAGATGCTACGGGCAATTCTAACTGTGATAAACTGTCAATGTCGTCTAAGTGCCCAGATGTAACAGTGGCCAAGCCAGCAGCAGGTGACGGCTCTGACAACAACATAGACGCTGATGCAGCTATTGCACCTCCCTTGCCCTTTGCTATTATCCTTTATTGGTTTTTAGCGATTTTGAATCTAGCGAATGCCACTTTTTGTAAGCATTTAAAGACATTGCGGAACATGTTTCAATTAATTAATTAACAAATTTACATTCTCTTTATTACAGATTCCTGCGATGAGGAGGATTACGGCAGCTCCTACGTATCCACATCCGATGTCTCGTTATCGGAAGTGAGTTTTAATATTGAAAAATATAAAATAACTAAAATGTCTAATATGTACATATATAAATTTTTGCTTTATTTATGCCCTAATAGGTATACAATGAAGATCTGGAAGAGGATAATTCCGAATGGGACGAAGAGAACGCCGTCGAAGATGATGACGAAGACACCGATGAGGATGATAGCGATGGAGACGGGGATGGTGAAGGCAATGTGTCGTCTGCCAAGGCAGCTGCAGGCAAGGAAAAATCATCATCAAACTCCGCCGCCGCAAAAGCCGCAGATGCAGCTGAAGCAGACAACAAAGACGCCGCTGAGGAGGCTGGTGGTGAGTGGTCTTAGCCAAATCTGCTAACTGGGTGAACAAATTTTTGATTCTAAATCTACTTTCGTTTCTATAATCTCGCAGAAGAAGAAACCCAGGCACGAGGAAAGAAAAGAAAGCACGACGGTTAAAAAGTGCTTTATAATGGCGACGCATCATCGTAGCATTTGTTTACAAAACTCCAATTAACGTTTTTTCTACTATTTTAATTTAACAAAACAAAAATGATACATTTAAACAGAAACAACAACAAACATTTCCCTATCAGTTTATATATCTATTAAAGAAAAGCGCAAACAAAAAAAAACAGAAAAAGTATACATAGATCAAGTAATACAATAAATATTGTAAACACAGACCCATTAATATTATTAAAAAACACTAAAGTTTTGCAAGAAATAGCAACAGCCACACACACACTACTACCGCAACAAATCTATAAGGATAACAGCCAACTAAATTCAGACCAACATATACTTACATTGAAGCACTTTGGTGGCGCAAAAAACATATATAGGTATAAAGCAGGGGAAGCCAAGCAAACTAACGATAATGCCGAGCGCACCAAGTAATCCATCGAAAAGCAGTTATGAGATGATAAAATTAAAAGGAGTTAGATTTTTAAGATTGGAAAGAGTAGAAAAACATCGGCATGGCAAAACATCTGAGTTAGTAAGAAAAGAGTACATAATAATTACATAAAGGTTATAATAGCGATTATTTTAAGCATGGCCTATATAAGGAAGAAAAATACATGTATAAAAAATTTAAGCAAAACGTGCAACAACTGCTTAAAAGGGAGATTTTATGATGTGCAACTGGAAACACCAACTACCGTATATACTCGTAAGGCGTCAGTCGGCAAATGTCGAAAGCGCAATTTGTATTGCGTTCGCGAACAAATAATTAATGATTGTGTGTTGGCGCCTCTAACCTTTTAATGCAAAAAAATCAAGTGAAAGTAAATCAAAAAATATCCGGGCAACAAATACCATCAGCCGACCTACATATTAATAAAAAAAAAAATATTGTTTATTGTTTAGTAGCATTAATTAGTTACTTATACAGTAAGTTTATTAATATACATACCAACAATACGAAGCGGAAGGCATAAGCGCTACTTTCTTAAGAGATGTTTTCAAAGTTTTCATTTGTGACACAACGCATAGGACTTCTTATATACATATACACTCGTGCATACAAATTATTGTTCTTTTGCATTGATTAAATATCTATTGATTTATGCATCCTAACAGCCAGTGTTCATTGTGTATCTTAAAATTGTAAAACTTCGCACATTTATTACAAGATCCCGGTTATATTTTTGGTCTATTTACAATACATAATTTTTGAAAATTGCGATTGATTTTTTAATTGTTCAGCACGAATTTCTTTTCCGTTACCACAATTTCTTTTCGCAACCTTAAGCCCTACCATATTAATATTTTTATTTTTAACCTCCATTCCTGCCACTATATCCTTTGCATCCGATAGCACATTTTCTAAAGTGCTGAAGTTGATGTTGAAACCAAGCATATGCAAGTACTAATTTTATACTCTTAAGACATTTTCATATAGCAATGAGAGAATTTTCGACACAGGACAAACTGTATTATTTGACCGAAATAAAAAATAAAGTCATTTTAAATAAAGTTTGTTTTACTTGAGAGCGAGATGGATAAATTCGATAATGTGGAGTCAGTCAAGGAAGTTATACATACAAGACTGAGCTGTGTTCAGAAATGCATCAAGCCAAAGTACAGTCCCTCATTTCTAAACTATAATTGATGGCCGCTGTGGTGTAGTGGTAAGCAGTGCGCGCTACCACTCTGCAGCACCTGGGTTCAAACCCCGGTCAAAGCAACATCGCAAAAAATATAAAAAAGGGGTTTTTTCTTAACAGCGGTCGTCCCTCGGCAGGCAATGGCAAACGTCCGAGTGTTTTTCATGCCATAACAATACCAGGCGTCCATCACTGCGTCTTAAAAATATTCTAGTGTTTTCACTCCCGCAAAACTCTATGGTCTCATTCATAAAAATTAAAATAGAGAGCTTTGTGAAGTGAGCTTTTCCAAAAAAAAATTCCGATTTATGTGTTAGTTAATATATTTTCGCAGGTATTTAGAAATTAGGTTAAATATCAACTTTCTCCTCGAAATTTAATTCATACATTTAAACTCGAGTCTTTATACTAGTCAGGTGGCAACCCTCCTTAAAAATATATTCGGCAGTAAACTTTCCTGTTGCAGCAGCATACAAATTCCCCCAGAGTTTTTGGGGAGTGTTGCTGCAGTGCAAAGTCCTTGACAAGATATAAATCTGGGTCGTTCCGGTTACGTAGAACCTAGTGTTGTGTGAACGAGTAAACTTTCCTAAACCTCTCTGGTCTGATACCCATATTGCAATATTTAATTAAACTGAAATTTTCAGACAGGTGGCAACTCAAATTTTTTTTTGTTCTTTTCGAGTGATGCGAATTTTATAATTAAATCCAGTTATGAAAAACAATTTATATTACTTGCTTTAACAAAAACAGACAATCTGCATGCTTATTTGCATAACGAAGTTAGTTATATGCAGAGCCCCTAAACCTCACAAAATCATTGCGCGGTACTTTTTGTGGTCTGCACGTGCGGAATTTCGCATGCGTCGTCACGCAAGCGAGATTTTCCAGAACAGGAGGACGGCCGGTAAAATAATGGTGCTTGTGATGTATCAGCTGACGAACCCGCTTTCGCAAACTCAACTTTTTCTTAAAACCAGTTACAAATACAATGTCGCGTTCTTGTATTTTATGCGCGTACATTTTTCTTACCGGCCCTCTTCACTTGCTGGAAAATCCCGCTTGCGTGATGACGCATGCGAGATCCCGCAGTTATAGACTGTTGAGGGTAGAGACGGGGACGGGACTAAATATTTAATCCCGACCCCGACCGTCCCGAAATTCGATTTTTAAGTTCCGAACCCGCCCATCCCGACATTTTTCAGAATTGTACCGCGGGTCCGTGGGCCCCGATATCTATCTCTAAAGCAGGCTACACACGGACAACAAATTGAAACGAGCGGTTGAGATTTCAACGTGTGTGGCGAGGTTTACAAACCGATCGAAGATTCACAACAATGTTCATGTCTTTCATATTAATTTTAAATAATGAAAGATATGGCATCTTCCTATAATTTTTTTCCTTTTTCGTCTCAATAAAATATTAAAAGTGCATATTTCAAACATCGTTTTTAAGGAAGATTTTGTGAATTTGCGGGGGTTCCGGTTTTATCGGGAGTGTCGGGAAAGGATTTTGGTCCCGTCCCGCCCGCCATATTTTTACAGATCTTCCCGATACCGCCCATCCCGGCCAATTTTAAATCAGTACCGTGGGTCTCGCGGGTCCCGCTATCCCGCGCCCATCTCTAGTTTAGGTCAAGGAGAATTTAATAAGGTGGGGTTACCGGTGAATCTGAATTTTTCGCCGTTAAAAGCATTATGTCAAAATGATGGGTTAGTTGTAATTCATACCAATGACAGTAGGAATATCGGAGTATAATTTGTTAGTGTAATTTTTTACTTATATACGGCTACCATCACCTTAGTAAATTGGCTCTGTACGGTTTTTTGCAGTATTGCACATATATACAAGGTGGTGTTACTGGCGAATTTAGACTTTCGCTGCGGTCCTCCTGAATGTCAAAATTATGTGTTTGTGGTAAACAAGGCGAATTCATATTACAACAAACACACCATTTTGACATTCAGAAGGACAGCGTCGAAAATCTAAATTCGCCAGTAACACCACCCTGTATAAATTCGTCTTGGTATTGGATTTACGAACTGGCGCAAACTTATACTAGGCAAGGGGAATTTATACAAGGTGGCGAATTTATATTACAACAACGACAACCATATCTATTTTGTATGGAGGATGTTATGTCAAATCTCAATTCGCTCCAAAGTTTACAAGTATTTTGTTTTTGCTCTTGATGGGTGTGCTGTCAAATCAGTAAAAGCAAAAACATAGTACATGAAAGGCGAAGAAATCAGCTGATTTTACAACACCATCTGTATAAATTCGCCTTGATACTAGGTTTATTTTAAGTAGATTATCTTCATTTTTGAGCTTAACTTCCTAATCTGTTATTAGAAAAAGATTGTAGCCACGCAAAATTCGTTCTGGCAATACTTTACCTTCAAAGTCTCCACACATCGCTTTTTCTACAAAAGCTTATCACTGACAGCTGCGCTCTTCTCCCATTGCAACTTTTATTGTTTTTGTCTTTTCGCACTAGTATTGCCATTTCCACAAAATTCTACCAAATTTTACAGAATAATTCCATATCCCAACAACATTTTTATTCATCACAGCTTGGAAATTAAATTCACAAAAATAATCAAAATAGTTCATCTAATGCAGGACGGTGCAGGTCGCGGGCGCCTATATATATATATATATATAGTGATACAACGAATTTTGTTAGTTTAGCCACTTGTATGAATTTTATTACTAAATAAAGGTTTTTATAGGGATAATTTAAGACTGAAGTTAACAACAAGCGATCTGAAAATATGATATTGAGTTATAAAGGAAAATTCGTACGAGATGGTGTACCACAGCAACAAATTTTACGGCGAAATCGTTCTGATTATCAAAATGATGTGTTTGTTGTACATTTTCCGAGCTCTGATTGTCACAGTTCGTATTATTTTTTAGTGTAGTTTTTTGTTTTTGTGCCTCCGTCATCAATTTGTTTGAATTTCCCTTGTGCACTTACCTTCTTTCTTATTTGGAAAATGTTCTTCACAGAATATGGTTTCGGGAGATTTTCGAGGGTCATTTTGGTGAAAAAAAACACTGCGACTCGGCAACCGTGCTCTGCACTCAGTTTGAACAACAGCAGCCTCAAAAATCTTATTGGAATTTTAGTTCACCGCTCGAATCGAATTCATTCACTTGTTTATTGTCTTGCATTCGCACGCGTCCGCGAAATTTCAACGCCATTAATTCTACTATTTAATTTCTTCTGTTTTGTTTTGTGGTGCCACTGTGAGCGCAGGATTTTTATTTACCTGAAATAAAATTGACACGAACGTGGCATAAACAATAACAAAAGCAAGTGTTTGCAAAATCTCTGAAAGTGCACTTCTCGAAAGGTTTTACGATATCCATTTCGACGCATATTTTGTGGTGGGCGTGGATTTAGCGCATATTGCAGCTCGAAATTTACAAAAACAAGTGCCAAATTACAACATTTTCAAACAAGACGAAGGTAGTTTTTGAAAATTCCTTGCGTTTCTTATTCGAGAGTGTATTGTTGTACATACAGCAATATCGAAATTGTAAAATAAATTAGTTCGGAGAAAAAGATTCCAGAGTTTTGCATTAAACAGTGACAGAAAGTCTTAAATTTTGTGGACACTATAGTTCATGACCGAAAATAAGGGAACCATGCTGGCGAAATCCGTACAAAAACACGCTGGACGTGCCAAGGAAAAGGTGAGTACCCGTCGTTCGCATAAAGTGTGCAATGCGTATATTTGCAATAAGAATGAAATAAGGCAAAAAATCAACGTCAAACAGTGTGCAATGCGTATATTTGCAATAAGAATGAAATAAGGCAAAAAATCAACGTCAAACAAGATAATTTTTTACTTTTTCGATGCAATTTATACGAAAGCAGTGCAGTGACCGGGTTCCTTCCAGTGGCATATCCTTGACCTGCCGCATAGTCAACAAACTACTCCAAATAAATACATATAGATATACATATGTACATAAATATGTATGCACTTTGAAAGTTTTTAGTGCTGGAGAAGTAAACAATTTGCAATGGCTTGCTGCACGAAATCGTTGGTCGGCAAGCTGGAAGCAGTGAAGAAATCGCTTTGGCTGTGATATGCGCACCTTGCGTTTCTTTTGTCAGATGTTTATTGTAAATACATATTTAGATATGCATGTATAGTTACGGTCAAAATAATAGCAGCAAGATTCAAAATGATGCTGTTGGCAACTTATCTTAATTTATTTATTGTTAATAATTCTCATTTAAATCAGTTTCAGAAATAAAAGTTGCAAGATCTGACTGCAATTGAAAGAGCGAAAACTTTTCGAAAATCAATTGCTGCACTAGCAATTTTTATTTTTGCTGCAAGTGCTGTCAAACTAACTGAGTGTTGCCGTATGACACTGATCTCGAGTTTATGAGAAATAAAAACGCATATTTTTAATAAGCTAACAGTAATGATTTTAACTAATTTTTCGGAATTGAATTAAGTAATGTATAATAAATTAAGCGCCTCACAGTTGCATTTGAGTATCGAGAACGATTGCCAGAAATTCATTCGTGGTGTGAAAGGCTAAACAAACAAGATTTCAGAAATTTTCCTGAAATCCGCCTTTCAGAAATTCAAAATCTCCTTCAAAACACACTTTGCATGTAAGGTGTGACTGCTGATGCAACTGCTTTCTGAAAATTCTCAATTTGGCAGCCTTTTCGAAATATATTGCATTGGCACGTCTGACACGCTCTAAAGAGACCTACTGAAATTAATTCAGATTCAATTGATTGGCTTATAAATAAACATATTTGTGACTTATATTTGAAATAGAAACGTAAGTCGTCGGGCGCAACTAAAGGGAGGCCCAGGAAGTGTGCAATTTCC